GCATATTGCGTTTTCCGTGTCAAAAAAGTTTCAAATCTGTCAATTGAAATATTATGGCGTCTGAACCTTGTCTGGGAACTATGGCCCCTCCTACTTGTACGTGCCTGTGCAGCATGGCTATCTCCAGTCATCATCAAACGCAAACTACCAATGCGAATTGCAGCAACAGATGATTAAGAATCAACATTGTCAGTTGTAGTAAAAGGAGAGGTTACTTTGAGCGATATTGGAATTGAATAGAGTAGTTCCCAAGAGTAGTGAAGCTTGGTAAAGTAGCCCAGGCTTGTTTTTGGATGGGATTCGACAAGTAAATCATGCCATGAATGATGAATGACGAAAGAAATCAAGAAATAAAAAGGCGCTCGAAATTTATGGTTTCCACCAATATGACTTCTCGAAATTGCTTCTGGATGTTTTGAACAAAAGAAATGCCTTCTCGAAATTGTCGTGAACATTCTCGAGATTGCTTCCAAATAATATAAACGTACATTTGCATTTTGTGTATTACAAGCCAATCCAAAAAAAAAAAAAAATACATCGTCACGAGTTAACTTGATCACAAATCAATTGTTTTGTTTGTGAGTCGAATATGGGTTTGTTATGTTCTCACTTCTTCTAAAAAGTACATATTGGAAGGACAAATAAGAATCCCAATACAAAAAAAAAAAAATCAAAATACAAAATCTAGTGTGGAATTAGCAGAGGAAACTAGAGTAAAAGTAAACTTGTATGGGAAAAACCAATACGAAAAGCTAAACTTGGCATCAAAATTGAGTCCAACGACTAAGAGTAAGAGGGATGTCAAAGAAAAGAAAACGAAAAAATTCAGCAACAACCAAATTCTAAACAAAAAAAGAAACAAAAAACAAGAACGCGTCCAAGACATGAAAAAAAAATATATAAAGAACCACTCTAACCAATAGTGAAGTAGTTAAAGTTGTTGCCATCAACAAGTCTCAACTTTCCATCATCCCCAAGATCAGCTCTGTAATTACCAGTAGCCTTACCACCTTGACCAGCAGCCCACAGAGGTGTTCGGTTATTATCATACAAAACCAAGTTAGCATCATTTTGCATCTCAAGGTAGAAAGGATGAGGGTTGCTAGTGTGACCACGACTTCCATCAAAGTACAACCTGTTTCCATTGTAAGCAATCCAAATGGTACCGTCACTGGTATCAAAGTAAACTTGCGAGTTTCCAGAAGGCGAGTAAAGGGTTTCACCTTCGTGAAGTCTGTTGTATGCGTTGGAAACAAGACTGTTGTGAACGTAAGTGGGTTGTGTAGATGACCAAGTCCAAGAGTTGGAAGCACTAGTGTCACAAGTCCATGTAGCAATTTGATCACCAGCAGCGTGGTTACCACCGAAATCGTTCATACATTGACCGTTTCCGTTGGCTTTGATTTGTTTACCGCTGAAAGACCATGCAGTAGTGTGAACAGCGCCGTTGCGAATACAAGAGTCAAGGATCAAGTCAAAACCGGAGGAATGAGCGCCACCAGTGTGGAGACACATAGCTTGATTGGCCTTCCAACGAAGGAGACCGTTATCAGCATTGAATTGTTGAGCATCGCTTCCAGAAGACCATGCTTGAAGCTTGACAGTACCATCATTGTTACCTTGAACAGCGAGGTTGTTTTTGGTGGAGTCGAAAATGTAGTTGAAAGTACCAGCGTTGATAGCAACGTAGTTGCCGCCGTATTGCCATGAACAGGCAATAGTTTTGTCCAAGGTGTACAATTGAATGACGTTACCGTCAGTGGTTGCGCGGTTGTAGTTGTTGATACCGAACGATGGAGCAGCGTTGTTACTGAAAGTCAACCAAACTTGATCATAGGTCCATGATTGACTCTTGGCGCCGTTACAAACCTTGATGGTCAAAGGTGAAGAGTTTTGGAGAGCACCGTTGACATCCAAACAGAAAGTGGGGTTGGATTTGGGTCTGAAAGTACCGTCATTGCCGTAGTTCCAGATTTGTTGGTTGGATGGTGAAGAGCATGCTGACAATTGGATGGCGTTGTTGGCAGCGACGGTCATACATTTACCGTTGTCCACGTTGAAGACGGTGCTGTAGGCAGTTGGAAGGCGGACATTTTGGAACTTTTGGGCGGCGTTCGAGACATTGCAAGGTTGAACAACGGGGACTGCAAAGTCGGAGAGTGAAGTGAAAGACAAACACATTCCAACAGGGCCAGAAGCAGCAGTAGCATCACCGTTGACATACATGGTCTCACCACTATTTGATTGTGCAAGGTAGAAACAAAAAAAAGTTGTTAGAGGCAAACCACGAAAGAATACAGAATGTAAGGAGAAACCAAGAAGAAGCAGGAACACCACAAAAGAGCAACATCATAAATACAAGACTGTAAGAAATGAAACCAACCTTGGCGTAATGTAAGTCCACCAGAGCACCCCAGAACCGACAGCGTTACACTTGGTCTTCATAACAACGGATGAAGTCACGTTGACACCAAGACAGTCATCTAATTTATTCAAATCGAAAGAAAACGTTAGCTCAAGAAAATAAAACCGCAAGACAAGGTATGGAAGACCTTGAAATAGCAAGAACAGAAACGAAACTTACTGTTGGTACCACGAGCAAGAGTGAAAGTACCATTGCTGAAGTAGTTGGTAGTAAAGTCGTTTGAACCAGAGAAGTGGTAGACATAAGCACCAGCACTTCCAGAACCACCACTAGAATTGAAGTCACGAAATAAAACGATTAACACACGCAACATCAAGAAAAAACCCCCCAAGTTGAGAGACAACAAAACAAACTGAATAATACTTACTTAATCTCAACACTGACAGTCACATCCGAAAGAGCCGAAATGTACAATGGGTTAGTTGGCTTTAAGTTGGCAGCACTACTAGGAGCAGCAAAAGGACAGTTGGTAACATTAGCATTAGCAGGGAACCCGTTCAAAGCTCCACAGTTGGTGGGTGGCGGTGGTGGCGGGGGAGGACAATATTTAGACCAAGTAACAGTGTTGTTTGAATCCCTGATAACCAAAGTAGAGTTTTCGACAGTGACAGCAAAAGGTTCGATACCAGTGAAGAAGGTACCAACTTGCCATGCAGCTTGAGTAGCATTGACATCAATGTAACTGAGACGACCGGTTCCACTGATAGTCAAGATCATGCCAGCGATAACTTGAGATTGGTTACCCTTGAACAAAGTGCAAGAACCGAGAGTGACAGAGGTGTTGGTGACCGCCAATGAAGCGTTACCGACAGTAGGCAAGAGAGTTTGACCAGCAGTCAAGTAAGCAGTCCAAGGAGTGTAATCAGAACCGTTCGAAAGCAACATGTTCAACGGAGATGGTTGTTTAGGAACACAGGCTCGGCAAGCAGA